AAAAAAAAAAAAAAGAATCAAGACCATCTACATATGTAGTTCAATATAAATTCCACTGTTAACCTGCCAGATTTCAAGAATGCAAGAGAATATAGACATCTCTAAGCTATACAAGAGCAGGAGACATGGACTGTTAGTGCTAGACATTCATGGAGGGGGCAAAATTAGTTTTGCCTTATACCTAGGAAATAAAATTTAACTGAGTAACAAATGCTAATTGTTTTTAAGTGCTTGAAGGCCACATAATCTAGGGTAAATGACCTTCTGCTTTAAGTAATTTTCTTTTTTCTTTTTTTTTTTTTTTAAGAGAGAGACAGAGAGAGAGAGAGAATTTTTTTTTAATATTTATTTTTTAGTTTGTATGTGGTGCTGAGGATCGAACCCGGGCCGCACGCATGCCAGGCGAGCATGCTACCACTTGAGCCACATCACCAGCCCTTAAGCAATTTTCTTAACACATACAATTCCTGCCTTCAGGAGTGGGGGCTGGAACAAATCTTTGAAATTAGTAGAAAAGATAGCTGGGAATGAATATTCACCTAGAAATTCTGAGGACGGGTCCCTCATTCAAGTAGAGACCATCCCTCACCTTGATAGGGGTGCTATAGGGAGAATATGAGATTAGAAGCCAGGAGAACTGAGTGTGAGTCCCATGTCCACCTCTAATTAGCTGCATAATTCAGATTAAGTTATTGTGTCGATCCACTAGACCTCAGTTGCCTCACTTATAAACTGAGATAAGTGGAACACAAGTCATTACTAACCTGTCTTTCCATAACAAGTTACCCTTTTAGGATCTGAAGTTATGGATCCTCTCCCCTAGAATAATACACTTTTGTATGTAAACATCAGATCATATAAAAAAAAATTTTTTTTTTTTTGTACCAGGGATTGAACTCAGGGCACTTGACCACTGAGCCACATCCCCAGCCCTATTTTGTATTTTATTTAGAGACCGGGTCTCACTGAGTTGCYTAGCTGCCTCATCTTTGCTGAGACTGACTTTGAACTCGAAATCCTGCTGTCTCAACCTCCCCAGCTGCTGGGATTACAGGCATTCGCCAACACACCTGGCCATATAAAAAATTTTTAAAAGGAATCACACATTTGCAGGGTGGTGGTCACAGACTCCATAAAACCTATCTCTGYATCCCCAGAGTCAAGATACCCAAGGCCTACCATTGGCTTTTAAAAACAAAATACAACAGCAACAAAAAAGTATGTAATCACAAAGTCTTAATTAGAACGGAATCATCTACAGAACTAAGAGCATCTCCTCTGCAGAAACTGGGAGTGGGGAGTGGTTACTTAGGGAAAATAAATGGAAGTACCAATAAGAGTTGCCCTTGCCTTGGGAAGCCCTTTACAGTCATTCACAGGGGAGTGGCTAAGAATACCAACTCCAGTGRGGGACTGTCTAGTTCAAAAGGAGGATCTACTAGTTTTTTGATCTGGGGCTTTGTGCCTCAGTTTCTTCAACTGTAAAAATAAAGAGGGGAAGGATAAAACTAATACCTATCTCAAGACCACTTGATACAGAGCCTGGAACACACTGATCCCTAAATAATTATTATGTTTTATTAAATCTGGGGCATATTGGCTGGGTGGGGTTAAAATTGTAAGCTAGGAGTTTGGGGAGTCATAAATACCTTGATTCGTTAGCTTCCTCAGATGTAAACCAAAGGCAATAACAGAATCTGCCTCGTAAGTTTTTTGTGAGGCTTAATTAAACTGCCTATAAAAACTCTTTGGGAGGGGTACTAAGAATGGGACATGGTAAGCAAGTGCTCTACCACTGACTGAGCTACGTTCCTGGCCCATAAAAACTCTTCTTGCAATGCCTGGCTTGTAATAATTACTCAATAAATAGCAGGTATTGTCATTAACTCTGGAAGGGGGAAGGATTATCATTACCTTTTGTTTGTTTGTTCATTTCAGAAGAAAAATGTTATGGCCATTTAGAACGGAATCATCTATAGAACTAAGAGCATCTCCTCTGCAGAACTAATAACACCTCAGCTAGCAAGCAATTGTACCAAGATTTCAACTCAGCTGAGTCTGAAACCAGAAGTTATAACCACTACCCTATACAACCAGGTGTTGGAAGAGGATTTGGAGAACATATGTGTTCATTCATACCTACTAGAACTCTAGAAGATAAGAAAGACATTTGGCAAAAGCAGTCCAAAATTTGAAGAATTTCCCATGGAGTCAAAGCCCCCTCTTTGCCACTCTTAAACATGAAAGACCTCGTAGGCTGAACCCTGATCTCAACCAGTTCTTTGCTTTCACAAGTAGCTGTTAAACCACAGCCCGACACCAAAAAAAAAAAAAAAAAAGAAAAGAAAAGAAAAAAGAAACCATGACTTAACTAGCAAAATAAATCCTTAAAATGAAAGTAATGTAATGCTGGGTCTGTGGAAAGATCAAGAGTGCTCTAAAATCAAGTGGAAGTTTTTGTAGTAGAACACAAATGTTTCTCTTGAATTAACACTTTCATTTGGCAAACAATGAAGTTGTTTATCTCTAYTTTTTGGATGCCAAACTCAGAAGGACTCCTCAATAGTAAAATAAGAGGAAGTGGGCAGCACAACCCAAAGCAGTGGTGAGAGAAGCAACATGTCACAGGCAAGAGACTCATCACCACCACCAAGAGCCACCTCCTTGAAATGCAGGGTCAACCTGAGCTAATCGGATTTCTTTAACTGCAAAGTGAAAACAAAATGGACTGGCAGAAAAAACAAGATGATCAGTTAAACTGAAGTCGTTGCTAATCATAATTTCACATTTCCATATATTTATATATTTCTAAGTATATTTTACTTTTCAATCTTTATTCAAGGCTGCCCTATCAGTCAATCTCAAGTCAACCCGTCCTTTAAATAAAGGGGGTCTGGAGGGTGGAGCAACAGAGCACTTGCTTAGCATGCTCAAAGGCCTAGGATCCATCCCCAGCACCACAATCAATCAAGGTCCAGCTATACACCTGCCTTAGGAATAAGCGTCACTGGAAGTGATGGCAGACACCTCAATCTCACCTCCATTCTCCCATTCAGAAGCCCTATCAGAGGTGGACCAATGGTTGAAAGAGTCCCATGTCACTGGGACCCCACATCCCACAGGAACTAGCCACATCCCAGGAAAAAAAGCACAGAGTGTCTGCATTCCAAACCCTGGGCCCACTGCTCCCAAAACAGGGTGGGGCAGGCAGAACTCTGGAGTGGAAGTCGGAAGCCCACCAGGTTCTGGGCCTCCTTCTGCTCCCATTTGGCTGACCCTGCACTTTCCTCCCAGACCTTAGTTTCTCCTTCAGTACAATGATAGGTTTGATGGAGATCACGTGAAACCTCCCTCCTGCTCTCAATTTCTGATTCCATTATTCTTACATATAAATGTGCTTTGCAGAAATAAAAGCCCTTCCTTCCAAACAGGACATGTTGCTCTACATTCTGCGACCATCCCCCTCAATAATCCGTGTAATTTTTAAAAGTATGAAGCATCCAGAACTGAAAAACAGGCTGTTGCTTTCCTGTGTCWCCAAATCTGACAATGTGGATTTTCTCTCCGGCCTTTTCCATCAATCCCACAATCCCAAGGAAAAAAAAAAAATCTTGCCTACCCCTCCGGATTTCTAAACTCAACGCTATCTTTTCCTGCATTAAAAAAAGAAAACAAMAATACCAACCCAAACCCGGCCAGATTAGTGCCACAGCACTAATCTGGAATCGGAGATTCCACCTCTGCCCCGCCCTCTCCCCGGGGTTCTTTTTGGGCACCAATCTTTAGATCAACTCATCCCATCTACCTCCCCTAGTTACAAGTCAACCATTTCTTCCACCCCAGCACATCTCACATGGAAAGGAGGCAGCTCCCGGGCTCCAACCCCAGGGGACTCAAACCTCCTCCCAGCCCGCGAGGAGTCGGCACCTGCGCGCAGCTGGAAGGGCCCCACGTCTTCCTGTGGGAAAGAAGGGGCGGTCGGCTAGTCCCCCGGCCGAGGTGCCCACTCCCGGAGCTGGGGAGGCCTCCGCGGCAGGTCTCCTGTCACTTACGGGCGGCTCCTCCCGGCAGGGCTGGGCAGATCGCACCAGCCGGCGGGCCAGCGGCGGAGTTTGCTGACTCAAAGGCGCGCGGCGGCGGCGGCGAGCGCACACGAGCGCAGCCCCGCGCTCCCCGCGCACGTAGCGGCCCCGCTCCCGCGCTCAGCGCCTGTCGCCCGCGTGTGGCCGCAGGGCCTCSGGCTTCCGCCGCCAGGCGCCGCCAGCCCAGGTGCCGCCCTTGGTGCCCCGCCCTCCGGCCTGGTGGACACTAGAGCTGACTGCTCGCGCGGCTGGCGCGCAGGGTGCTTCGGCGCCTAGAGTTCTGTGTCATTTAGTCACCCCTTAGCAGTTTAAGTGACTGAATGACTAAAGGTGGCCTAATATTTCATTTTCAAGCTTGAATTCTTAGACACAGCAGCAGATTATCATTCGGTACTTGCTCCGGGAGCCCSCCTCCCCTATCCTAGAAATCGGGGAAAGAAAGAAATACCCCCATATTTTTTTCGGAAGCTTAAGCTGAAAATGTGCTATCGGCACTTTTGAAATCACCTCGGGCTAGCTAACCCTGTACAGCTCCCTGGGTGCAGGGAGAACTGATGAGTGGGGAGGGGACTGGATACATAATGTGATAAACAAGAATAGCAGGATGTTAATAGATCGGGTGTATGGGTTTTCCTCTTTTTTTCAACTTCTCTTCATTTTCATAATAAAACGTTTGGGGATAAAACTATGAGATCCACTAAAGGATCTGAATCGTTAAGGCATTTCCCAAATGGCACCTTGGGCTGTCACCTGTTTGCATGGAAAATCACAATAATCACTTAAACTGTTAAGGGGTGACTAAAYGACACAGAACAATAAAGGTAGCCTAATATTTCATTTTCAAGCTTGAATTTTACCATTAAACACAGCTGCAGATTATCATTCTGTACTTGCTGCTGATTAACATCKAGGGCCATTCGAGGTCTACCTGAAAAATGTACATGTCTGTATTCCACAACTACACCTCCTATGTTGTTTCATAGCACAACTTCTAAAAATAAGTTTTATCTTAGATCCTGAAYTTGTATCTCTGAATTCTAAATCACTAGTATATAATTTCATAAAATTGCACTTGAGTCATAATGTGTGCATGTAATGAATGTAACCATCATCACTTTTGAAGACCAAATTAAAGTGTGTTTTTCAAATTCTTGTATCTTTCTCCATAAAGAAAAGTATTAACTGGGGGAACAAAATGCAGCATGCTTGTAAGATTCTAAAAGATTCCAAGATCTTATTTTCTAACTTATTGTCAAGAACATGACTTTACAACTGTGAACAAACCACCACCGTTGGAGAGTCTACAGGAGGCCATTTAAATATCTCTTATAATTATGACCCTAACAGAAAGGAAGTTATGAAAAGAATTCAGAATAGAAAGAAGCTATAGTGGCTGGCCTGATCTTGTAATCCTTAAGGCTCAGGAAGCTGAGGCAGGAGGATCTCAAGTACAAAGCCAGCCTCAGCAACTTCACAAGGCTGTAAGCAGCCTAGTGAGACCCTGTCTCTAAGTAAAAAATAAAAAATAAAAATTAATAATAATAATAATAATAAATCTGGAGATATGGCTCAGGGTCAAAAAAAAAAAAAGAAAAGAAAGAAGGTACAGATTTTTCTAGCCAATCTGCTTTAAAAATTGTCATTTACAACCAGAATCCAGGGGTCTGATGTAAGTGACAGCCACCTTTTTTAGGTTGTAAAATTTTTGTGATACCATCAGTGGGATTGGGTAAATCTGGACTCTGCTTTAGTTAAGAAACCCTGCCTGTTGATAAGATCACCATAAAATTCCTTTTAAGGTCTGGGGATGAATGTGGTTCAGTGGTAAAGTATTTGCCTACCATGCGTGAGATCTGGGGTTTGATCTCTAGCACTGGGAGAAAATTGCTTTTAAGAAAAAATATCAAAATTCTYACCATGTGAACATTTTAACCCTGAAAAGAATTGAGTATATAATATTTATGAGATTCAAGTCTATGATATTAATATTTTCTTCTAAGAAATYTAGGCACATTTAAATTCTATGTACATGTAATGTTTAAGAGAATTTACCCTATTGGAATAACCATTTGTCTTGTAGTTTGTTTAAGATGTGTAACTTGATTCTAAGGTAAAATATTACTATTAGCAAACAGTATGAAAGCACTCAACATAAATTAAAATTTGCAACATTTATAAATGTAATTTATCAATTGAGTTACTTATAAGTCAACTAAAGAGCCCAACAAGGAAAACCAATACATTCAATTCATAAATGAAAGTTTTTAAATGAAGGTAAAAATGTTTAGAGGTGATTAAGTTTGTTAATGGAATCAAACCCCTTCTTAACTTGTGTTTTGGTTTGGACRTGAGATGTCCCTGCAAAGCTCCTATGTTAATGCAGGAATGTTCAGTGGTTAAACAATTAGATTATGAGAACTGCAATCGAATCAATCCATTCTTGTTTGAAAGGACTGACTGGGTAATAACTGTAAGCAGGTGTGGCCTGGCTGAGAAGGTGGGTCACTAGAATTGTGCCCTGAAGGRGTTCATTTTCTCTACAGCCCCTTCTCCTTTCTCTGTCTTTCCTGTTTGTCATGAAGGAGCAATTCCCGAACCAGATTGTGCCCCTTCTGCCATGAAGTTCTGTCTCATCTTGAACCTAGATCAATGAACTAAACCATGGACTGAACCTGAGCCAAAATAAACTTTTCCTCCYCTAAGTTGTCCTTAGCAGGCATTTTGGTCACAGCAATGAAAAGCTGACTAACATAAGTTGTTAAAATTTGGTGGAATTGCCTGGTGCAGTGGCAAATGCCTGTAATCCCAGTGGCGTGGGAGCTGAGGCAGGAGGATCATGGGTTCAAAGSCAGCCTCAGCAAAATCGAGGCYCTAAGCAATTCAATGAAACCCTGTCTCTAAATAAAACACAAAATAGGGTATGTGTTTTATTTAGATATAAATAAATAAAAGGGGATGTGGCTCAGTGGTCGAGTGCCTCTGAGTTCAATTCCTGGTACACCCCCAAAAAAAAATTTTGTTGGAGTTCTAAGTAGAATAAGATTAATTATCCAGCCTTAGAAAACTAAGGAAGAGGGGCTGAGTTGTGGCTCAGTGTTAGAGCACTTCCCTAGAAAGTGTGAGGCACTGGGTTTGATCCACAGCACCATATAAAAATAAATAAATAAATAAATATTGTGTCCACCTACAACTAAAAAAAAAAAATTAAAAAATAAAAAAAAAACCTAAGGAGGAATTATGCTATGAAACTTGCAATTTCAATAAATATAACATTGTAAAAATAGAATCATATAATATTTTCTGTCCACAAAAACTATTTTTGGATGCACCAAAAAGTTTTTACATTAACAATTGCTACCATTTCTGTCTTTTTCGATGTGAGTGSCTTATACTGGGGGAAAGGTAGTATCTTTGTACCTAGGACTGACTGTAGTGGGAGCTCTAGAGAAAGCCCTCACTTCCCTGTTGTATTTGTGGTGGCTACAACACTGATAAGCTTTCATGAAGCTCTGTTCCCACCTAAATCCTGCCTTGAGTGACTTCTAGTGTTAGGATATCTGGATTCAAATAATGGCTTTACTACTGCCTGCTTGGGGATCATGGAAAAATTACTTAAACTTTCTGGGCCTCATTTCCTTTCTGAAAAAGGCGGGATGATAACACCAGCACCGGCTTCATATTGTGCTTGTGAAGGTTAAATGAAACACCACAGGAAATGCTCTTAGAACTGTGCTGGGCSCAAAGTAAGCACTCTGTAAATTTTAGCTGTTATCATAACTTGATCCAATCTCTCCTGTCTCTGACCTAAGTGCATTGAGACACATGAAAAAAAGCTGTCTTCACTCCCACCTCTCACCGGATCCTTCTTCCATCTCTTGAAAAAATTGCAAAATCCACAAGGCAGAAAAAATGGAATTTGCCTGGACTCAGTATTCAGAAATTACAATTAGCTGATACTACACAAATATTAAGACATATTAAAAACCGTGCTATTTGTTTGTTTTGGAGACAGGGTCTTGCTATGTTACCCAGGGTGGTCTCAAACTTATGATCATTCTGTCCCAGCCACCAAGCATCTGGGATCATAGGCATGTGCCACCACACCCAGCTTTTAAAAACACTGGAGCTTTTAATGTGCATAATGAATGGTCTTGCCTTCTTAAAAAAAATACTGTCATTGGAGTTATTTATAATGTACAAAAGATGATTTTTATTATTCATCAAACAACTAATAAAGGAATGTGAAGGAAAATGTAAACAAATGACAATTTGGATTTTGATTTCTGATCTTGCAACAGATTCATCTGTTTTCAAAAACATAAAGACATTCCAGATTAATRTAAATAAAAATAGCCACTGTTGGACATTAATGTTTTTTTCAAAACATTTCTTCTGTGTATTCTTCCCCAAAAAATAAGACTAGAAAAAAATTTTTGAGACAGCTTACCTATTTGTAAGATAAAGGGGCCTAGACTGCCCATCCATCTGCCCAGTTCTCCTCTTCCTTATGTTTGTTAGTGGGCTACTATTCTCCTAGTTAACATCCAAAATCTGCTAAAAAATTGGCACTGGCTTTGCATTACTCTCTTACCCTGGCACTCTGTTATGGTTTGGACATGAGGTGTTCCCAAAAAGCTCCTGTATTAATGCAGAAATGTTCAGAGGTGAAATGACTGGATTATGAGAGCTGTAACCTAATTAGGTCATCTTTGTTTGAATGGACTGAGGAGTGATAACTGTAGGCAGGTGGGGTGTGGCTGGAGAAGGTGGGTCACTGAGTCTTTCCCCAAAAGGGTGCATCTGCCCTGGGATCCCTTCCCTTCCCCCACCCCCTTCTCTGTTATTCCCCTCTCTACTTCCCAGCCATGATGCATCCCCTTACCTCAGTCTCACATCAATGGAGTCAGCTGAACAAAGACTAAACCTCTGGAACCCTGAACACAAAATAAACCTTTCCTCCTCTAAGTTATCCTTGTCAAGTATTTTGGTCACAGCAATGACAAACTAACATTAAATAAGGATGAAGATGAACCTGATGCTATTAAACTTATAACCTCAAAAAATCTAATATTGTAAAAATAGCAACAAAATAATATTTTCTATGCACAAAACTCCAAG